AGCTCTTAAACAACCTAAACATCACCCAAAAATCCCAGCTTAGGAAAATCACAAGAAAACTGCTTTTCTAAACTCCTAATGGGAGATTGAATCAAATCAAGCCTTTCCTAATTGGGGTAAGGACTGGTTTTGTTAACCTTCGAGGAGAAAACACCTGCAACCGTGCCGAGCCCATCGGACACCGAAATAGTGCTGTATACTCACAACGTTTATTTTAGGCAACGAGGAAAAAAGCCCAGACTACCTCTTCAGTTATATAAACGTCACTATATTTAGACACAAGCATGAAAGGGGTCTTCCTTACTCAAAGAAGAGAATTCCAGTAACAACACACAATCATTGAATGCATATCACGCTATTCACGAAAATAGCACCGAGAAGACCTCTCCATCCATGTTCGTGACAAGATGTAAAGACTGTGTGGCTCCATTAAGGCTGGGCACATTCAGCTCGGAATTCGGAATTAGGCGAATTCAAGAAGCGAAATTCGAATTCGTCGAATCAGCGCGAAGGATCAAATCTGATCTGAACGCGAATCATTTTTTAAAATAGTAGAGGGTTTTACGGTGGACGAAAATTAAGACACAGTGTTTTAGAAAGTATTGTTTAGAGTATTATATTTTAACCCTCAGCAATGTGTTTTTGTTGATAATATCACTAAAGAAAAGGTTTACATAAATAAATAATGAATATTTGCTCTTATTGACTCCTAACTTAGACTAAGGTTGTTCGCCCGTACACAACTACCCTGGTACACCTTCGAACTTAGATTTGGTTAAAATAGATAGCAGTTGAACAAATAGACACGAATTAACCCGAAATTAACCTCCTATCTTGATTCACGGAATGTTTCCTTCAATGTGATATGTTGCTATGTTGGTGTCATTTCGGATCTGGAATTCGAATTCGGAATTCGCTTTCGCAGAACCGGTGTCTCGAAATTTTCGGATTCGCGAATCTGGAGCTTTTCGTGGATTCGGTCCTATTCTTACCGTGTGGTTCCATCACCTTCTATTACCCATTCATGGAAAGACCCGAGGGTGGCTAGACGGGTAAGACTTCGTGTCTGGTGCCGGCAAATGCTGATAACTTTTACAGATTGGAGAAGCGCACGCTCTAACGTGCCCAAAGAAGTGATTTGAAAGAGGAGACAGACGAAAAGGTTGAGAAAAGGTTGATATATGAGCTGGTTTTCTATTCTCTGTTCCTGCTCCCTCCTCACTTTATATCCCTC